TAACTCATCAACTATGATGATAAAACATGAGGTTAAGAACTCGGTGTTGCCAGGATGAGTGCATGGTCTGATACTCTTAACTCTCAAGTGAAGTGGTCTCAAGGCCACATGTATAGTAATTACAGACACATGTATGATCATTGATGATGGGGTAGATGCTTTAGCAAAGCATTGGGAGGAGCCCCTTTGGATCATTCTTAGATCTTCTGACTCCCTCATAGCAAATAATTTTCTTCCTTAAATGGTGCACTTAATATTCTTCAGTGTATGTGTTTGCTTTCCTTTATGTATTGTTAGAAATGGACACTAGAAGAGATAATCACATTGGAAGTTTATCTTCTGTTTTGAGTATGCGTAACTGCTCCCATCAGCTACTCAGTCACTGGAAAACTCTTAACTACCTAATTGGTCTCCAGATTATCTACAGCAATGTGGAGAAGTGCCAGTCTGGGAAACATTGAGGACAGTTGGTTTACGTGTTTAAAGTGATATAATGTCCAATCTTGGTTATTCTGTGCTCCTGTTTAGTGTAAATTCATGACTGCAGGAATGATTAGCAGACTTAAGAATTAATCCGCTGGCAGTCAGAATGACTCCAGATAAGAAGTCAAAGGAATAAATGAAGATCCTTTAATTTTATGATAATCACTAGTCTAGGTTTGTTAGGGCAGTCTTTTTTTTTTTGTGAATGGGATGAGATCAATTGATACAGTGCTATATAGCAATGTTATAATGACACGGAAAATCTCAGCGGAGACACTGTATCTGGTATAAATTGATCTCACAGGGCACATTCTCCAGACTCTGCTGTTTAATGTATTAAAAATTCATTCCTTTGACAGGGAAACTAACTTATCAAAGCATGTTGGATATTTTTCCAGGAACCCAAGTTATATGCATGAAACTGGAGCGGTCCTCACAGGTTTGAGTAAAATAGCAATAGTTGGGTCATTGCCATGCTCACATCCTTAATGGTGTGCTTTAATTAAGCAAACTAGGCAGCACACTCACTTCAGGAACACAGGAAGCATCAATATTTCTCATGTGGAAAACAAGTTTAACTTGAAAGCTTCCAGGAAATACTGGTAGTAATATGGACCAGGCCAGATGATGTTGACACACTTTGACACTGAAACCTCCTGGCCACATGTTACAAACTCTCACAGCATCATTGCGAGTCACTCAACATCTGGTATTTTCAGACCCTCAACTTCCAGTCGTATTATTATGAGGAAATTGTGTAAGTCCATTTTAGACTTGGTGGCCAAAGAGAAAAGTTTGAAAACACAATCCATTAGTTCTCAAAAGCAAGTAAGACCCCATTTTTATGTATGTATGTATTTAAATCCCACAATGGTTAAGCAAATCTCGTGATCTGTGGGACTGTGCGATACTTATCGTTCATATGCATCCTTGGTTAGTAGGATGAAAGTACGGAGTTTTCCATGGTGCCAGACCTGTGCAATGAAGAAAACCCAATACTCTCTTCTGGGTACTTGGGAAAATGTCTACACTTACGTAAACATTAAGCAGAAATGCTAGAGATGTCTCTGAAGGAACTGGCCATGGAAACAAGAGCGATGTAGGCAAATCCAAGCAGTACTGTGCCCAGGCTGTGCTGTTTTGAGGGTCAGGTTAGTATTTCCACACAGCACTGGACTGTGCCATGCAGAAGTACCAACTCACCTGGGACTTGTTTGGGTATCTCAGATAGAGTGATGCGTTGCATAAACTAGGCATGTCTGTCGTCTTGCAAAGCCCTGATTGCTGTGTGAAGCAGGAGTGGTGGTGAATACTGCTTGTTCCTTACTAAGACTCAAGGGCAGCAAAACTATTTACAGAGCAAAGTGCATCACTAACCCTACTTTAGACTGTAGTGAATCTGCATCTTTTTACACTGCACTCGTTTCTAGGCATCTTGCTTTATTTTCTCCCTGCTCCAAACCACATGAAACTCAAAACTCTGCAATCTCTGGGCTTTCAAGTGAGACTTGAGAGTCAGGGATACACTCCAGACCATATTAATGGGGGATAATTTCCTACAGTCATAGGCCAGCTGAAACCAAAGTAATTTTTTATGAAAAGTATGATAGAAAAATTCAAAGTCTAAACTGAAATTGAATCTCTTCCAAAATCTGCCATTGTCCCTGAATAAAAGTTTAAAAAACCATGTCATTTTGGAAGTTGGTACAGATCTCATCACTGAGGTCTGTTGCAAAATCTTGCTCAAAATTCCTGAAGGTCATCTTTTCAACTGTTATTCTGTATTTCAGTTGCTTAAGCAAGACAAAAAGAGTTATCATCCCTTAAATTTCCTTTTTTTTTTTTTTAGTAGTTTATTATTGTATTTTAAAAGGAAGAAGAGTGGTTTAACTTGACCTAGATTCTCATGCAATAATATGTGTATAGATTAGGTGGAGGAAATGCACCCTATCCACAGAATAATAGATTGCTAGTTTAAATTACTTGTCTTAAAGATCCTGATTTAGCTTTGCTGAGCATAAAATATTAGGTTTACTGGGGTTTTTTTTTGTAGATTGCTGCCAGTATTCTCCCTGAATGTCTTTAGATTGTTTAAAATATTTAAAATTGTTTGCATCAAATGTATATCTACTTACAAGAAATGTGCGTTGGTTTCTCAGCAGAGATGTAAAATCTTGGTGTTAAGACATGAACTTTTGCTGTTATGGAAATTTTCTTGCTCTATGGCTTGCTTTTCTTTTTCCCCCAAACTATTTTGTGCCTATATTTCGTATTAAAACTTAAAGTGAGAAAAAGGAATCAAATGAGAAAGCTTTAGGTGTCTCTTCAGGTTATAGTAGGTTGTTTAGGTCTGTTTAATTGGCAGTAATGTTTGAAACTCCTGACCTCATCCTTACAAAAATCTTGTTATATACACCATCTGAAAAAAATGGTGATAGGCCTGATTTTAACATGCTCCATGGGTGCCAATGAGACTACTTTGGACTTGTATCATTGTAACTTGAACCAAATGTGGCCTTTAAGATAAGAAGTACAAGCTGGTATAGACTCCGTAGTTGCAATTGCATTTTTATAAATAAAAGGGCCTACAAGGGTGCTGGGAGAGGACTTTTTACAAGGGCCTGTAGTGATAGGACAAGGGGTAATGGGTACAAATTGAAATCAGGGAGGTTTAGATTAGATATCAGGAAGAAATTCTTCCCAGAGAGGGTGGGGAGGCACTGGGACAGGTTGCCCAGAGAAGCTGTGGATGCCCCATCCCTGGAAGGGTTCAAGGCCAGGCTGGATGAGGCTTTGAGCAACCTGGTCTAGTGGAAGGTGTCCCTGCCCATGGCAGGGGGGTTGGAACTAGATGGTCTTTAAGGTCCCTTCCAACCCAAACCATTCTATGATTCTATGAAGAGTTAGGCACATGTGACAGACTTCTGGGGACCAGGTCAGTGTGCTGTGTCTGGTGGCATTGGAGCACTTCCAATGTTTATTTGCCATTTGATGGAAGAGATATTCAGTATTATTTTTGCAAATCCCCTGCATAAAGCAGTACACTCCCATGCTGAACTGAGTGCTCAGCCTGAAACACTGACTTTATTGCAGGAATTTAAGTGACTCTTAGAGGTTCTTTGCTCTGCTCTTAGGAGCACTGTCTCTACAGGGAATGGGTAACTGACCCTGAGAAACTACAGCAGCATGCAGTGCCTGAGCAGTGGGTCCGAGTGTTCTTCAGCTGTCACCAGTCAAAATTTGTTGTTAGGTGCTGAAGATCAAACCAGCTCTTGACTAGAGAGCATCTATATGTTGTAATAAAGACCTGGACTGATGCTTTGGCTCTGTAAGGTGGCTACTTAGAAGCTTTGTTCATTGCCTTTTCACCCTAAAACACTTCCTTTAACGCCAGGTTCTGTACTGACCTGACCTTCACTGTCTCTATAATTGGTTTTTCTTTCCTTCTAAACAATTAATACATTGGGATTTTTATTATGAAAAGTCCTTATTAATGGACAGTTCCCAAGCTTGCTGGGATGGAGATAAGTAACATGATTTGAAGGGATTCTGTAACAAAAATGCCTGCAGAAAAGAAATCTGAGATTGTAATGCCTGCAGGCCGTAGTCAGGAATAAAGAATGAAAGGTTCTCACTTTGAATGCATTTAGTCTCTAACACAACACAGAAAGAGGCGAAACATAAACACACTATCTCCTAGCTGACTTGTGACAGCTTATAATGAATGAACATACCACAGATTGAAGTGTCATGTTAATGTGCTACAGAATAAGGAATGAGTTTCATCAGCCTTATTCAATATGTTTCCATCTGTGTCTGAAGTATTGAACTACCCATTTTCCCTGGAAATACATTTGAAAGTGGGAGAAGTTGAAATATGTACTCTTTATAGGTATTAATAATATACTTCTTTTCTTTTTCTCTCTTCAACCCAAAAATAATAAGTGGAAGATAGTTTGGGTTCTGGCTTTGGAATTGGAAAGATCTAGTAAATATAAGTGTAGGAAGTCAGCTGGTTATTTGGATGTAACATTTGGAAACTTCATGTGTAGACAAAACAGAAAGGGAGGGTGAGAAAATAGCATCAATAACATTTGTGGAATTTTTGGTCAATTTCTGGCTTAAGGGTACTTTATGGACTGCTAGATCTCCAGTCAGTGAAGCAACTCTGGATTTTAGGTCCCTCTGCTGCCATCTTTCTATATATGAAATTCCTGTTACTTACAAGAAAAGACTATGGGATCAGCTTACTAAAGAACATGCTTTATAAATTAGGTTTCCCGATCTATCATTCTGTTAATAATGAAATATGGTGATAACTTAAATGCTTCCTTTGCTCAACAGCAGCTTATTTTGATGAGGAACATAGATGAGGCTTTTTTGTCTGTGTTGCATATACACCTGTTTCAGAATTGTGATTTTTTTTGTTTGTTTGTTTGTTTTGCACTGGTTTGGTTTCCTTTTTGGATTTCATCCGTGGGTAACACTTTTTCCTTTTCCTGTGTGAACAATTCTAGATGTTTGACTGGATCAGCCACAACAAGGAATTGTTCCTGCAGAGTCACACGGAGATCGGCGTGAGCTACCAACATGCCCTTGACCTACAGACACAGCACAACCACTTTGCCATGAATTCCATGGTGAGTCGAGGGCGCGCTGCGAACCGCGGGCGTGTGCGTGAGTGAGGAAAGGGCTGACGCGTGAGGCCACCTCCGGTTCAGAGAGCACTATGGTCCTGTGAGAGGTGAAGTACGGAAGTTCAACCTGGGCCTTCTTTCTGGAAAAGAGTGTTGCTCTGTTTACCCAGATGCTGATATATGACTATTTCCTTGACTGAAGAGCAGCATAGTCCTGTGGAATTTGTTTACATTTTGAAAAGCAAATACAATTTAAAAAAAAAAAACGGTTTTGACATTTCTTTGACTGGGAATTAATGAGAGCTGTAGGTGACACGTTAATAATTTATGCTTCTCCCCCCACATCCTGTTAAGGTACTTTTCAAAACCTTGAAAAAGAGATACTAATCAAGCTGTCAGTTATGGCCACAGCGGTATTTTTGCTTTTTCAGTAGTTAGTGGGTCAGTCTTTCTGAACGCAGCTCAATTTACCTTAGCTATTTGTTGTTTGGTTTTTGGTTTTTTTATTTAAAAAAAAGGCATCGTTATACATTTTTAGGTGCTTTGCTCACTTATTCTTTCCAGCCATAAGGTATTTGTTCTGGAAAACGCTCTGCTTTCAACACAGATTGAGGACGGAATTGATTGATGTTTTGATTCTTGCATTGCATTAGAAAATACGCATGCATACCCCCTGCTGCAGTTACACAATGCAGAGATGAGCACTTTCTCAACTACCCAAAAGCTTGCCCTGAGTAAACCCACACCTACAAGTGTATGTCTTCGAGCTGTGTGCACTGGGGATGACACCTCAGTGGTGGTGGTTGATGTTTAAGTTGGTGGGGTAGGTCACTAGACACCCACACCCTACTATGGTGCTGAAGAGCCAAGGTACTTGGGAGCAGCTGTCTGAAATGTGGAAAAGGGCTCCTGACTACCTGAGGTCGTTACAGACCACGCACCACTTTCATAAGATTATAGGTGTTAACCCTGGTATTTTGGCCAAATTCCAGATCAGGTAATTAACTTCTGTGACCTAAATTCCACCTGCCATTTCCACCTTCCTAGTTATTCCTCACCGAAGTGCTGTGCCTCACTAGGGTCTTGTTTAACAGTGGAAGATGAGAAATTTTTATGATGTCTCTTAATGCGTGTACTGTGGTTACAATTGAAAGGTGGACTGAAAAACAGGCTCTAGGCATCTGATTGTTAAGCTTGCCATCACAGTGCTATCCAGCAAAGTACAGGATATCATGGCCTTCATATAACACTGCTGCTCACAGAATCCTAACAATTAAAGGTGTCCTGGAGGTTAGTGCGGTAAAGTCATTTGGCCTATGAAAGATACAAAGTCAGTCATAATTCTTCAGAAAACACCATTAGAGGAGTGAGGCTGAAGGACGTCCCTCTTTGTGGTTCTGTCTGATACTATCTTCTTAAAATAACTGGGAGCTAAACTTGGATAGAGATAATTGTTGTTAATAGAAAACGAACAAGTGACAGAGAGGGTGTCACCTAATGGAAGCCAAATTTATTTTTCTCCATTTTTCCATCTGTCCCCAAGTGAACTTTTGAGAATGAGTGTGAGGGGGAACTTCTGGGGGCAGAGACCTTTCAGTGGCTGCGTTGTGGCTTGCAGCTGTGCCATCTCACCCTCTCAGTGCTGCCAAACTCCCATCTAATAGAGCTGCCCAGGAGAAAGACCTTTATAGCAGAGGAGATAGTGTGACAGATGAAGTACCTCCCATTTTGCGTTTTCTCCGGTATAACCCACACATGTATAGGGAAGACCATACAGTCAGCA